ATGGGAGACCCAGAAGAAGCTCCTGGCTCCTGGCTTCAGATGGGTGCAGCTCCGGCTGTTGTGGCCATCTGAGGAGTATACCAGCAGATGGAAGATGTCTCTCTCTCTCTGCCTCTGCCTCTCTGTAACTCTGCCTTTCAAATAAATAAATAAATCTTCACAAAATTTTTAAAAATAAAATAATAAAGGGAAACAGTAAAAAGTCACATGATTTGCAAAGATTGTTGAGCAAAGATGGCAATGATGTGGAGAGCACATATTGGATAGGAGATACAGTGTCATGTTATATTAGAAAATTGTTCTTTAGAAGATGTAAGCTCAAATTTAGACTCAAAGGTAGGTTAGCAGTATTAAAGTATAGCGTTTCTAAGTACAGATTAAGTCAAAATCAAAGGCAGGTTATTTGCAAATGCTTGAACTAAATACTGATTATGCATTGTGCATGTGTATAATATATACTCTATATCATTACATTATATATTTTAAGTTATAAAATACAACACACTTGTGAGGGTAGTAGCTTGCGCATTTGGGTCAAAGGAGAACAGAGTGTTAGGTTATTATTGTTGGGTTCCGTGGTGGGTTGGGATTGTGAACTAGGAATGGAGTGTTGGAAAAGAAGACTTAAAGGTCCTTCATTGCTTCCAGGGGTTCTTGCAGGGTGAATGATGTACTGCTTCACATGTCCAGTCTCTGACTATTTTTACTTTAACCCCCTGGGTAAAAGGAATGGCCACTTAATAAAAAGCAAATGCTAATAATACTAACAATTTTAACAACAGGTTGTAAATACTTTGGCCATTAGTTAAGTCTTTGTTATTGCTGAAATCTGATAGCATTGGTTACCATTAGATAGCACTTAGGGAGCTAGCAGTTACAGCTCGTAGTCAGAACATTTATAGCTTTTATATCCTTCCCTTCTAGACTGAGCACCTTGAGGGTATGAGTCCTGTCTTTGCTTCTTTGTATTGTGTGCCACAGTGTCTGGCAGTGTAAAATTTAAGGAATGTTAACTGAAGGAAAGAAGGAATGGAAATTTATTTTTGTAATGCAGTTGTCTTTATTAGTTCATGAGGTCATTTAGTAGCATGCATTAAGTAATCACTGTGCCTTCATAGTGAACAAAAAGCAAATAGATGAACAACTTTGACATATTTGGAAATCCAGGTATCCGACCTTTAGTCCCCTGTGTTAAAGGCTCCCTGCCAAGTCTCCTCCTCGTTGAAGTTTCAGCTGAAAACCATTGTTCCCAGTGGATAGGTGTTCTCAATAGTTAAGCCATGTTGCTCTTCTCCATTGTAGCATAACCAGTGACCACAGTGTGTGTGTGTGTGGTGCTTCATGAGCTAGAGGGTGTAAATATATATAAGCCGAGGTTTACTGAGCACCAAGAATTCAACAGTGCCTCATTTGCCCCAACTCGGCACTGCGTACAGTACACATGCTTTCTCTCAGCTGACCAAAATGTGCTGTCTCCCAGGGTAAGTGATTTCCTGTGAAATCTGGGGTGGTAAAAGAAAATTAGTAGCAAGAGCAGGGGGTGGGCAGTGGCGGGCAGATGGGCTCCAACTTGTCACACCAGTTTTCTTGAAGCTGTGGTAAACAGCGGTCACTCTCAGCACATCTTGACCTTTGCTTCGAAGGAGCTTGGCAGAGGGGCCCGTGGTGGCTGCTGTATCTCCTAAGACTTGGCAATACCTCTTTCTTCTATTTAGGTGGTTTAGAATTTTGTCTGTGAGTCATAACAGCAGTGACGGTGCCTCAATTGTAGTTTCCAGTTGCTAACAATGCTTTATTTTTCCTTAAAGTTCACACACACACAGTGGGGGCATAGAGACAGAGAGAGAGAGCTCCCATAGCTGGTTCGCTTCCTGAATACTCACAATTGCTGAGACTGGGTTGGACTGAAACTGGTACCTGGGAGCTCAATCCAGGTGTTACATGCAGACGGAAGGAACCTAAACACTTGAGCCATCCCCGCTGCCTCCCAGGGTCTCCATCAGCAGAAAACTGGAGTCAGGAGTTGGAGCCGGGGTTGCACCTTGGTTGTACTCTGCTATGGGATGTGGTGTCTTAACTGCTGGGCCAAACCAAACACCCGTCCCTGCTAGCAGTCTCTTATGGAGCAAGGGGAGGAGTGAATGAGTCTAAAATATTGTTTGAGTTTTTCTTGTATTTTGTTAGTCTTTAATTATGTTTTCTTGTTAAGATTCTTTTCTCATTGACTAATAATGAAAGTGACTAATTTTATTGAGTACTCATTGAATTTTCCTTATTCTTTCACAGTTCACATCATCTAGGTTTTATCATCAGCTTGAATTCTGTAGTGACATATCTTTCACAAATTTATAGTCAGCTAATTTTTATTCAACAGCTATTTGTACATGCAATGAATAGTGCATGAACAGAAATTGGAAGAGCCCCTTTCTCCGAGTTTGGAGCAGGGGTTTGTCAGAGCTTGATTCATTGTGCTATCTTGAAGGGATAACAGCTTTTAACTGATGCGGTCTTCTACAGTGGGAATGGGGATTCTGGAAGGGCATAGGGAAGAACCAAGAAAGACTTCTGGGCCTTCTCAGTCGTACCTCTTTGAAAAGTCTCGTGATGAAAGGCAGCCACAGCTGTGGGAGGAAGGCCTGGTCCTCCCTTTCCTGCTGAGGAAGCAAAGCTTGCCCACTCACCCAGAGCTGTGTGTGGAGGGGAGACCAGGGTTTGCATTAGACGCTGAACTTTGCCTTCCTCCCAAGGGGCTGCCAGCCATACTTCCCCGTGCCTCTACTTGGCAGAATCAGTTGCTCTCTCAGTAAAGTAATGAATGCTAAACTTGGGCTTTCAATATGCAGGGCATTCAATTTCGCTGAGACGGATTTAAGACTTTTGTGTTTCTTACAATCCATACCTGAAACAACTACAGACATCTTTTTGCTTCCTTCCATAAATAATAAAGTTTACAGATATTTGGTATGTATGTGTGTGTGTGTGTTTGCGTTTCAGTGTAGCTTTAATATAGCTTTCCTGCATGTATGTAAGCTACAGTTATTTTTGGTTGGAATGTGCTGTGTATTGCCGATTGGATTATAGGAACCACCTGAAATGGGACCTGAAAAGGGTAATGAAAAATGTCTGTAAACACATTAAAGATTAAAACAGTGACTGAGTCCAGTGAAAGAAAGTGGTCCTATGAATTAGTAATGAAAGTGCATTTATAGGTTATTGTCTTACCGGGGTCTGAGTTTTAATAGCTGCTGGCAGTTTAAACTAATAGGAGCCTGAATGACCCATACTAATTTTGAGTATTCATTCTGTTTATGGATTGTTTCTTAATAGAAACGCTAAATGGTGTTGCCCATCTTAAATTACCGCAAAGAGTTGTTGTAAAAATGAAATAAGATAAGGTAAATAAGCATATTTTGTAAATGTGAAAAGTGGTCTCCCTCTTCTGTGTGTGTATTAATATGTAATATAATATCATAAAATTATATGTTAAGATAACTGAACAGCAGTTTTAAGAGTTTGAAACTTTTTTAGATCCCGTGAATATAATTTGTGAGGATTTGTAAGTATATTGGTCATAAAAAAGCATTGTGAACAGCAGTATTTAAGTTGAGTAGGAAACTAAATCTTTCAGAAGTAGATGTTGTCATCTAAGCAAATGAATACCTAACAATGTGCCATTGTAATGTATTGTTTAATTAGGTACTAAGTCCTTTCTGGTTACATACTAATAATATTTTGTTTACTTGCTTGCTTTTACTCTGTGTATTTGAAAACAAATTGCAGTTTCTTACAACTGTTCTAAAATTTAACTATTTAAGTTCTAACTTCAAACATTTCATTAGTTCTCTGGCCCTTTCTGCAGTTAGTTAGAAGAAGGAATATTTTCTTATAACCACACATGATAATTCTAGTTTTTAAACTGATCAAATTGAAGAGCATATAGGCCAACAATTTTTTTGTTCCAAACAAAACACATATTTGTAGGCAACTGCTTTAAATATTATGTCTGAAACACCACATTAGAAATATGTAGTCGTGTTATATTACTCATTATTGAAATTATCTTAATAACAATCACACAATGATTTTTTTCCTTTTATTATATAAGGCGAAAATAGAAAATCAGTGGAATTTCTCTCTTATTTGTCTGGCATTATACTGGACACTTGGGGCAATCTCTAAGTTCCTGTCCTTGAGACGCTTAAGAAATTGAAATTAGGATTAGAAGTATTTTTAAAAGCATCAAAAACAATAAAAGCAGTTATGTCAACAAGTGCCAAAGAATGTGATTAAATTAGTAAGTGTCCTAGAGAGAGAAGGAGAAACAGAGAAAGAGGTCTTCCATCCCCTGGTTCACTTTCCTAATGGCTGCAACAGCCAGAGCTGGGCTGATCCAAAGCCAGGAGCCAGGAGCTTCTTCCTGGTCTCCCATGTGGGTACAGGGGCCCAAGCACTTGGGTCATCTTCTACTGCTTTCCCTGGCCATAGGGAGAGCTGGACCGGAAGAGGAGCAGCTGGGACTCAAACCGACGCCACAGGGGATGCTTAGCCTACTACACCACAGCACTAGTGAGGCTTTTTTCCCCCTTTTTTCAGCTGATTCATTTCCTAAATGGCACAATGGCCAGGGCTGAGCCAAGTACCTGGGCCACCTGCTGCTTTCCCATGTGCATTAGCAGGGAGCTGGATCAGAAGTGAAACAGCTGGGACTTGAATCAGCACCCATATAGAATGCTGGTGGCGCAAGCAGTGGCTTTACCCACTCTGCCACAACACCAGCCCCAAGAGTGAAGGTTTTATACAGAAGTTGCCTGAAGAGTATGGTTACATTTTATGATATTTGAAGAAATCAGTCCATTTGCTTATGGACTGTATATTAGGTTTTATAAATAAGGACATCTCAGTCTTATTTCTGCTGGCCTATTTGCTAGTGAGAAATCACCATCAGACTTGTTACTGCACAGTACAATAATAAAGCATGCTTTATCTCCCCTCACTTCCAGGCATACTTCCGACAGGGCGTTGCCCTCCAGTACCTTGGACGTCATGCGGATGCCCTGGCAGCCTTTGCCTCCGGGCTGGCTCAGGATCCCAAGAGCCTCCAGCTTCTGGTGGGGATGGTAGAAGCTGCCATGAAATCTCCCATGAGAGGTAAATGTGATTTGTTTCTAGCCTCCTAAGACTTTAAGTTCAACCATAGAGAACTGATGGATTATCTGCTTAGCCAAGATCTGAATTCTTAGACAAAGGGAGATCAAAAATCACTGTCAATATCTGATGTTAATGAGGCAGAAGAGTGTGGTGGAAAGCCCACTGACCTGGAAGTCTGTGGACCTAGATTATATTCGTAAATTTTTCATTAACCAAAAATGTAGTGACTGTGGGTAATAGAATCAACAACTCTGAACTTTAGAGTTATTTAAATAATCCCTTTTTTATATTTCTAAGAACCTGTAGTTCCAAACCACAACACCCATAATAATAAATTCATTTTCTCATGTGGACCATATGCCTTCTAGAAATGATCAAGTAAGAGAAGATATTAGAAATTCTTATTTTCAGAAAGGATATGCATATCGAACTGTAGGTTGTGCTAACATTTTTCAGAAGAGCATTTAAATAGGTTCACTGAATTAACAAGCGAGAGAAACAAGACAGTCACTAGTTTACATTTATTCTCCCTTTTATTACTTCCACTTTATACCAATTGCTATTCTAAAAAAGGAAGAGAAATCATTGAAAATGGTGCTGTGGAGGTGAGAGGAGTTCTAAGGCCCTGAAGAGACTGGCTTCTTTTTGTGGAACATTGAGTTTTGAGGGATGAGCTCTTGGGAAGGTTTGACTGGAAGTGTGTGCCAGTTGTTGTCTTTGGGGAGACATGGAGACACTCAGGCACATTTGCGGCATATAACAGACAGCCAATAATGTTTCACATTAATTAGGTTATGTCAAGCAGAACTTTATTTTTGACTCAGAAATGGTTCATTTTTGAATTTTTCATACGGAGAATGAAGCTAAATATTTTGATGGCAGCATCATTTGATATTTTATCTAGTTTTGAAAATGTCTGCATTCTTAGATAGTTTTAGTGTGCTGGCTAGTATTATACTTGGCTCAAAATATGAGCCAAATGAAAGTCTGATTAACTAAATGGTACTCATATACTCTCTGGACAATTTATAATTATAAAAAAATAGTTTCCAAGCAAATTAGGGATTTCATGTTTTAGAAAAGAAGGCGTAGGAATACCTCTCTTGGTGTGATTTTATAATCCATATAAAGCCGAGTCTTTGCGGTAGGAACCTAATGGCTTCTCCCCCTGGGGGACCTGCTGTTAATAAACCCTGGCTCAGAGCAGATGCGCTCTGGAGCTCCAGGGCTTGGGGAGGAGGGAGTGGACAATAGCGACAAAACCAACCTGTCTCTCTCTTCCATTGTTCTAGTATTTTCTCATTCTCTCTGTCTACCCTTCTGCAGATAATTTACATGGAGCATTTTTTATTTAGTTCATGAAGATATCACCTATTTGTTCAGAGGAGTTTCTGCCGCTGCCTTATTGGAGGGAATGTGTTGATCTCAGCAGAATCTTACTTACCATTTTGCCTTTGAAGCAGTTTGTTTAGATGAATGGAAGGGAATCCTCATTGCACTGTGGAAAAGTAGCTCAGAGCTGCGGTCACCCTTAGGGTTGTCTGTGCCATGTTCTTTCCCATCTTAGAGTGAGTGACCTAAGGCCAACCCTGGAGAGAGCTGCTTCTTACAGGTGCCTGGAGCACTTCAATATTTTCTTCTCTTCCCTTGAGGCAATTTAATTTATCTCATTTATTTTTAACACTGCTTTTTACCACTCTGTCTGTTCCAGGTGGGCTTCTCTTTCCAGCTTTTTGTGGAGACTTGGCAGCATCATGCTGCGTGTCGTCCTACACCTAAAGACCACTCTTTTTGTCGTATGGTTGTAATTCATAACATCTGTCATCATTTGCTGCTCGGTTTTTAGCCACTGTTTATCTTAGCCTCCTGCATCTGAGTTTTTGCCATTGTCACATAGCTGTGTGGTCTGAGTCACTTTCCCTAGGTCTGATCTGGTGTGCCAGTTGTCTTTGTTTTGTAAATCTTGAATGCAGCCATGTAAGCCAGTGAAGCGCCCGTGGCCCCACAGTGTTCCTGTAGGTTAGTCTTTTGGAAGTTTCAAGATTTAATTTCTTTTAAGGCAGGGCCAACCTTTATTAACGTGAGGATACTTTAGGATGTTCATAGGAAAATGGAGTTAATGGATTAGTTTATTTTGGTGCAAAAAAGACTTTGAAATCCATTCATAGTTTTCTCACAATATGCATTTTCCATGAATCTTTTGAAGTACTCTTGTATACCTTTGTTCCTATATGAAGGTACTGTATCTATGTTGAAACTGATTTGATTCTTTATTCTCGTTGCCTGTATTTCTAACCAAATTAAATGTTTTACTTTATTTTTCTAGCTTTCACTGTTTCTTCTGTGGGTATATTTACATTATTATATGTCATATATTTCCTTTTAATCATTAATGAAAACATACAAATAAGTATAAATATAAATTATTTTCTTTCACTTTTTTTTTAAAGATTTATTTACTTATTTGAGAGTCAGAGTTAAGAGAGAGAGAGAGAGAGAGAGAGAGAGGTCTTCCATCCACTGGTTCACTCCCCAGATGGCTGTAATAGCTGGAGCTAGGCCGATAGAGCTTTCAGTCTGCTGTTACTTGAGTTGGTAGAATGGGAAATGGATCCCAAGAGAGGAAGCTATTAATTCTACTAAGCTAGGTCTGAGAAGACTCCCAGAGGAATTGACACCTGAAAAGAAATTGGAGCTACGAGAAACAACAGTATTTCCCAGAAACTGTAGGTAGCTTTATTTAGGAGTATCTGGAGATGAGAATGGAAGAGGCAAGGCCCTGATGCCAAGGCCTGGAGGAACTTCCCCAGGGAGTGCTCATAAGCAGGCTCTTGTATACTGGGTGGTGTTCACTGCAGATTCACAACACAGCACCTGCTCCCAGCACAAGAACAGGATTCACACGGTGCTGCTTCCCGCTGCAGCGCAAGAGACATCCTACAGGGGCCCGCCTTGAGGTTCTAGCGCTTGGCCCTCAAAACAACTTTAGGAGATGGATATTGTCACCTCCCTCTATAGACAGGGATTTTTTAAAAGTTTTTATTTAATGAATGCATTTTTATAAGTACAACTTTAGGAATATAGTGATTCTTTCCCACATATCCACCCTCCCACCCCAACTCCCATCCCACTTCCCTCTCTCTCCCATCTCCTTCTTCATTATGGTTCATTTTAAGTTTGATTTTATATACAGAGGACCAACTCCATGTTAAGCACAGATTTCAACAGTTTGCACCCCACCACACATGCACACAACATGTAGAGTACAGTTTGAGAACAAGATTTGCAGTCAATTCTCATAGTACAACTCATTAAGGATGGAGGTCCTACATGGGGAGTAAGTGCACAGTACATTATGTTGTTCCTTTAACAATTGACACTCTTATTTATGAAGTCAGTGGTCACCCGAGACTCTTGCCATAAGCTCTTGCCATAGGCTGCCATCAGTATTTGGACTCCATTAGCATTTGGACATGGCCATAAGCAAAGTGGAAGTTCTCTCCTCCCTTCCGAGAAGAGTACCTCCTTCTTTGATGGCCCTTTCTTCCCACTGACGTCTCACAGAGATCCTCCGTGTAGGATATTTTTTGCCACAGAGTCTTGGCTGTCCATGCCTGAAATGCACTCACAGGCCTTTAGGCCAGACCGGGAAGCCTTAAGGGTTGATTCTGAGGTCAGAGTGCTATTTTACAGTGAGTGTCATTCTAGGAGTCGGCTGTGTGGACTGCTTCCTGTATTGGACTTTCCTTCCTTTTTAATTCTATTATTATCACCAGGCACTTGATGTTATTTATATGATCACTTTTACAATTAAACCTATCTACATGATGACTTTAGCATTTAATATGATCATCTTAACAGTTAAGCTGGCATTTATACCACTGATTTTAATGGGTTTGGAGCCCATGACAGTTTTTAGACTGTACCCTTGGAAGTTAAGTCTGTAGGACTGTGTGCAGAACTACACTGCTTTACAGTTACAGACTACCTCCCCCTCTCTTATTCCCCCTCTTATCTTTTACTGGAATCTTTTTCTAATTGACTTAATATACATATGATTAATTCTCTGTAACATAAAAGTTAGATATTATAGTATGAAAAGAGAAAAGAAAAAGAAAGAAAGAAAAAAAAGAAATACACAATAAAAAGTAACAATAATAAACTGTCCCTTGACAATTAGGACAAAGACTATTCAAGTCATTGATTCTGAAAGTGTCAATTTCACTTCTACAGCTTTCATTTCAGGAGTGCTATTAATTCTTACAAATCAGGGAGAACATATTGTGTTTGTCTCTTTGGGACTCGGTTATTTCACTAAGTATGAAATTTTCCAGCTTGCTCCATTTTGTTGCAAATGACTGGATTTCATCCTTTTTCACTGCTGTGTAGTATTGCATAATGTACGTATCCCACAATTTCTTTATCCAGTGTTTGGTTGATTGGCATTTAGGTTGCTTCCATGTCTTAGCTATTGTGAACTGAACTGCAATAAACATGGAGGTGCAGATAGATCTTTTGTTTACTGATTTCATTTCCCTTGGGTAAATTCCTGGTAGTGGAATGGCTGGGTCATATGGTAGGGTTATATTCAGGTTTTTGAGGTATCTCCACACTGTTTTCCACAGTGGCTTTACCAGTTTACATTCCCACCAACAGTGGGTTAGGGTGTCCTTTTCCCCACATCCTCTCTAGCCAATTTGTTGATTTCTGTATGAGGGCCACTCTAACTTGGGTGAGATGAAACTTCATTGTGGTTTTGATTTGCATTTTCCTGATGGCTAGTCATCTTGAATATTTTTTCATGTGTCTGTTGGCCATTTGGATTTCCTCTGTTGAAAAATGTCTGTTTTGGCCAGCGCCGTGGCTCGCTTGGCTAATCCTCCGCCTGTGGCACCGGCACTCCAGGTTCTAGTCCTGGTTGGGGTGCTGGATTCTGTCCCGGTTGCTCCTCTTCCAGTCCAGCTCTCTGCTGTGGCCCAGGAGTGCAAGGATGGCCCAAG